ATAACGGTGTGATCCCTCGCGCGTTTCTAACAGTTTTCGGCGTCACGGTGTAATCAATCATGAACTTCGGGCGTTGCGATGTGACGTCACAGCGCGATCCCGCAAGGGCCGGCTTGGTGTGATCTCATTGTCGGGGCAGATATGTGCGGAATTCGCGTTTTCAAAAGAGGGCCATGCCAACCCGATGGACAGAGACAGCGGCGGACGTGCCAGCGGCCGCTAGCGGAGCCGCTAGCGGAGCCGCTAGCGGAGCCGCTAGCGGAGCCGCTAGCAGAGCCGTTGGCGCTATTAGGAAGTTATCCCAGACCCCACTGCGCGTCCGTTGTTGGGAGAAAGTGGCGAATGTCAAGCTACGTGGCGGGTGCGGAAGAGATTTTCAAAACTGCTACATTTCCCGTATGCTGTCCGGATGAACCGCTGTCAACGCAGCTGCCCGTTACAGTACGCGCCACCTACCCTTCACTTCTACGGCAAAACAGTAAACCGAAACTTGGTGACCGTGACCGCCTTGTCTCCATGACTCTGTTGCCCCTTCCTGTGGAGGGCGGCTGTGTGAGAGTCAGCCTTGAGAGTAGGGGGCAAAGTACAGCATGGCGGCCCAGCGGGGTCCAGTGGCTATTTTTCGACGGCCAACAAATCAACAGCCGAGGCGGGACAAGCGCCATTGTTTATAAGTCGATTCTTTTGCCCAAGCTCCTCTACAAAACCCATGCACAAGCAATATAACTGTAAGAAAGAATCATGAGTTCCAATTTGATCTCCTCATTTGTCAGGTTGGTTAAATAACTCTTTTTAGAAGAGGCCACTACTTTAAGCTTCCGGATTCATCATTCATCATTATAGGTTGTTTTCATAAGGGAGCAGCTACTTCGGTTCTCTAGGAGACTTTGCAAGGAACCATTACGAATTAATGTTTGTTCACAGGTTGCTATGGGAAACTAAGTCAAGCAAAGGCTGCTTTAAAAGTAGCACGTTGCACTGAACATGGGCGGGGGCGCGGAAGTTAACACATACGGCTCAGAAAGCACGGCCAGCTCCAAACACTGGAACTGTTCTAGAACGAAGGGTCTCCCAAAAGCGACACTTGAAACTGTCTAAGAGTTGGGCTTGTATATGCTGGTCTCCGTTGGCAAAAGCTTCAGGCTTCAGGCATTTGGCACGAAAACTCTGAAGCACCGCTCGAAATGCAAGCGTTCGTTGAATAGCCGGAATACTTGGTATAACTCCATAACTGTGACTTTGCCGTATGCAAAAAGCGGACGATCGCAACAACAAGTCGCCTGAGCATTGCAGCCAGTCGAAGAGCTGCTTGCACCACTCTGCATCGGCTCGCTTTGGGCAGCATCCGAGTCATCAGTATCAGACAAACAGCTTCAGTGCCCGCAAGGATTCCAGAATTCAGGCTTTGTTCATGCTGGCTGCAGGCGCTGCGAAAAAGACCTCGTCTCGTGGCTCGCACCCAACATGCACTGAGAGAGCAAGATTGATGAACAAGCCTGAGACTGCAGCACCCAAAGTCCCAATACTAGTCCTTGGCTGCTTTTTTTGGTGTTGATGTTGGAGTGATGTTATTGCACGTTGTTTTGTGGCGTATTAATTGTGGCTTTTGTTCGTTCTGTTGGCGCTATGTGTTTTGTGTCTTTTTGTTGCTTTCTTGTTTTTGGGGAACGTGGGGGGAGCTTGATAGCTTCCGATTAGCATGCGGTAGCACGAGAATCACAATCAACAAAAGCATGCCTGGAATTTTGGAAGCGGGCAAAAGGCCGAACCCAGGCTTTGCTTTCGAGGCGTTCCACCTCCTGCGCCCGAACCCTGCCCCACCCTTGTTGCCGTGAGGTTGATCTTGATGTGGCAAATTAGGTCCAGTACACCACATCATCCCTTCCACGCGACTCCGCTACAGCTTCAGGCACGGGCCTGGGATGCAACAGCCGGATCTGCCAGAAGCAAGTAGCCAGGTAGCATCATCACACGCTACCCGCTGCCGCAACTTCGGCATTCTGGTAGAATGCCCAGTTCGTAGCATGTAAGTCCCACATCTAATCCAGCCCGATGATACGCAAGTTGGCTTGAAGAGATTTAAACCCTCACGCCTCGCGTACATGTGCAAAATGGAAAAGCAGTCACACGCTGCCAAGAGGCCAGAAGGGTTCAGATGCGATCGCAACATTTTTTCCGAAACAATGAGGCGTGGCGCGGGCCAATGGTGCGTCATGTCGCATTGCGCGCGATGTCGGAGAAACACTCCTCTTGCATTAAACACCACTTACTAAGCTTGATAAATACTTGCATCATCCCTGGAACGTTTGCTGGAGGATGGATTCTTGATGAAACTCAGCTTCCTCTCCACACGCCGCGGCATCCCAAGGTTGTTCATTGCCTGGCCTTTGTTATACTCGAGCTTGGCTACATATCCCCGTTGCCTCGGCGACACTCTGAAGATCCCGATGCTGATGCTGCTGAACCACGGAGTCTGGCAGTGTAAGTCTTAGCACTTGAAGTGACAACAGACCCAAGTTGGCTCCGACAAACAAAAAGTGCATCAGAATTGCAGTCCTTTATTGCAAGCACATGTACCCTGCAGGAAAAGCCATGACTTCAATGGCGCACCAAATCATTCTTCAAATTGACGCAACTTCTCCTCTTCCTTCTCCCTCAGCAGACCTCGTCCTTTGCTTTCAGAGTATCACATTGGCGCCAGAGATCAAATTTCTAGACCTCACGAAGCCACCAAATCTTACTAAGGGGAAGTGATTCCTCCCATGCAATGAACACGGAGAGGAGAAGGACGACGACCAACAGGGCTGATATGTGCGTGCATAGACCCAAAAGAAGGGGAAGGCGAGAGGTCGAGCTGGCAGATGGTTCTTTCATTGAATGAGCCATTGGCCGGGCATTATATCCATTTTTCGCAGCCCTGGTGTGCCTCCGCATCTTTTGCCGCTCTCGTGAAGAGCCCATAGAAGCGGAGTGACCCTGTCTGTCCCTCTTTCATTCGGGCGTTTCGGGCAAGTCTCCTCTCTTTTCATTCTGTTCTTTGGGGAAATCTCTCCCTTGCGTTCTCTTTCTTCCTTTCTTTCTATCGTCCGTGTTCTGAAGCACGCATTCGTGCCTCTGGATTCTAGCTGTGGCCAGGAGGTTCAGTGTACAGCTCTGCTCGAATTATCACGTAAACGCTCAGCTTGAGCATTAGGCTTCAGCATGGGTTGTGCTGCCCCCTGCGGCTTTACTCTAAACATCTTGGCAGAAGGCACAGGGTTCTGGGATCACAAATCCCTTCGCACCGACGGCGGGTCACTTCTTTAGCACATGAGGCACTTCCACAGACCAGATACCCGGGTGCATCATGCACTGGTGATGCGCCGTAAACAGCAAGGCAACAAGCTTTCACCCTCCCCCTATCCTGGTGAGGCAGCAAGCAAGAGAAGAGCCTCTTTTCGAGCTGGAAGCTGTCACGCATCGCTATCATGGATGCCCAAGACAGAACAGCTCTTGGAGCATGCCTATGGCAGAGCGTACCTCAAACATCTCCTATACATGTGGGAGCGTGCTTCAAACATCTCCACTGCATGCGGCACAAATGGCTCAAGTGCTCAAAGTCTTGTGGAACAATTGGCCATCTGAATTGTTGCCGACTCTTAAAACGGATCACCCCTTCCCCGCCAAATGCAAACACAAAAACAACTCAGCTGGCACTACAAAGAAATCTGACCATAGAGGCAGGACTGGTGTTTGATGTTTCGGAGGAAAGGGTCAGGCAACTTGCACACGGGCTGACTTTTGCTAATTTCAGCAAACGCTAAACCGCAGCAACTGCAGCTTTCAGAAGCTGAATTGGCTGCCACCCAGTGGAATGCCCTTAGCAAACATAATTCTCCATCTAATGATACCACTTGACTACTCTAATACTGCTATTCTGCTTTTTTTAGCTTTCGTTAAGACGAAGACTACGCATCATAGGAATACTGCTAATATATCATATGGCAATATCAAAATTCAATGGTAAAACCATTCAAAAAGGAATGCGTATTAAAGGAAGCGTAATGGCAATGGTAGCCTTAATTGTCTCAACCAGCAAAAACTTAGTCAAAAGGGTGCACTGGGCTTATCACTGGGTACAATAGCAGCAATTCTAATGTCCAAAAAGTAATCATGTACACTAGCTGTGGAGATTTATAAGTACATGAATTCACGAAAATGCAGGTTAAAAGTGCGAGCACTAGTCATGGAGTTACAATTTCATGTTGCGGATATTCTCCTTGAACACCGACGTACGAGTTGCCATGACCTGGCCAGGTCTCAGCTGTTGTTCCTGAGGGCACGCCTTGCTGCATCTTGCTACCTTTGTGCTGGCATGTGTCCTGCCACCTGCTATCCAGCACAAAGACAACCCCTGGCCTCAATGCAGTCGTTGAACACGTTGAGCCCAAGCCCAGCAACTGCAGGCAGGGTTGACACAAAGGATCCAAGAATGAAACAGGCGCTGTACATGTGCGATGCTTGTCGTGATCCCTGGACTTCTGATTCAAGGGATCTGAGCTGTGCACAGCCCGCCGCAGCAGGGCCAACCCATGAGGCTGCTTCTGGGAAGGTCCAGCCGGATCTTAGGTTCCATGGTCGCCGCTTTTCTGGAAGACATACAACCATGATTCTTTCCACAAACACCATCGGCCCTGACACTAAGCTTTTGGATCTGCTTGCGAACGCATACACCGCTACATGCGCCCTCAACCAACGCGAATTTGCTGAAAGCCAGGAGCCAGACAACCCATTTACGGCAACAAGTACGGATCAAAACACGCTTGCTGCATCATCCTGACTTGGCTGGTGTGACTCACCAAGATTTGTGCAGTTCTGCTTGAAAGGAGAGACGCTGCTGGAGGCTGGCTTTTTGCATTCCGATGCAGAGCGCTGGAAAAGTCAGCGAAGGTTGCCTGGTGAGACCGCTGCTTCCAGTGACCTGCGTGCCACTGCCACAGAACTGGAGCGAAGTCATATGATCAGACCATCTTGCTTACAAGCTCCATGTCACGCGGAGACGGATTTGAAGGGTGGATAACGTCATTTCGCACATCGCGGGAGTCCGGCACCTCCCGCTTGTCAAGGCCATCGAAGCGAATGTCCACACAGCCGCGCTGCATCTGCTGTACCTTTCGGACTGCAGCTGCGGCTGCAAGCACACGGCAAGGCTGTAGGAGGAAGCGAAGGAACAGGAGCCACAAATCCGCTTCTTCAGCCTCTTCTCGCATCACAGATGCTCTTCTCAAATGCATCACTGCCCATGCCAAGACTGTTAGTGCAAGCAGTACAGCGTCGAAAAGGCTCCACCAGTCATGCGAGAAGGATAGTCCTCTCACAAAGATGTTGGACAAGACCTCTGCAAAGAGAGCAAACGTAACCACGGACCAACATCCGCTTTGCCAGGTTCCACCCTCCAGAATGTCATGCCAACCCTTTGTATTCCCGGATTTCCACAAGTCCACCAGTGTGGACAAAAAGGCGGCAGCCGCCAAGACTGAGCAGATTAGGCAGTAGATGAAGTAGGGCCGCTGCAGCCGTAGCAGAAGGATCTTGTGTCTCAACTGCTCCATCCAGTGAACAGAAACTGTTCCTTCCACGTCGCAAGGCTCCAGAGGAAAACTTTGCGTCTTTGGCTTGCTCTCCCAGTGGATGGAACCCTCATCGGAGCCCATGGCTGTCTACGTGAAGCCAGCAGCCAAGGAAAAAGGAAGGTGAGTCTCTGGCAAAGTGACTGATAGGAATTTGACATGCTGAGTGCCTCCTGGGCCTTGGATGCAAGAGGTGAAGGCTGAAGTTTATATAGCGCACAGATGCGCACAGCATAAAGCCTCTTTCATGCCAAAGTCTCCAAGCCCGTGTCTTTACATCATGCCTCTTTCTTGAACTTGTATGCATGATCTGCAGTGGCTGCGATGCATTGTTCCACGTGCGCTGCCTGTTACCTTGAGATTCCTGGTCAAAACAGACTTCACCAAAGCAAGAATCCTCAATGTACTAAGACCAGAATTCTTCCTACTACGATTCTTCAAGCTATCCTGCGGCTCTCAGCCATTCACTCCGTGACTCAGATCACGACATAAGCAGGAGCACAAGAGCCTTCCGAAGATATTGCCAGCAGATCGTCGTCACTATACGCTGGTCATTCCCTTTCTGTTGGCTTGGACCTTTTTCAGACTGTGGAGCGGAGCGGCTCCGAATGATCTTGGACTGCGCGAAGCACAAGCTCCTGCCAACAGCTGAGATCAGGAGATCTCTCTCATCTTTTTGCCCATAGAATCCCTGTCTCCGCTCTGCTCGCCTCCACGCGGTGCGCAAGGGACCCAGAGCTTGGGAAGGTCCTTCCAGAGCACACGGGCCTTTCATACCGCTTGTTCAACAGCAGGGGCTTGGGCTTTGGATTGCCTGCTGTGCTCTCGTGCTGCAAGCTCACAAACAGGTTTCACCAAGCGCGAAGTGGAGCAGATGAAGCAGCCTTCAGGTGGTCAGGTGTCAGCTCACGGGGATCCAGGCACTGGGGCTTGAGCTTTCCCAAAGCTTGGCATCCTCGATTCGCGGGCACTCAAACCTGCGAGAACAGGCGGAATGACGGTGTATTGTCCACAACCGCATCCCACTGCCCGTTTCATCGCCTCACTGCTATGCCATGCTCCCGGGCGACATCCAAAACAACCTGACTGAAAGCTGGTATGCCGCTCAGATGGTCTGATGCCAGACCTTGCGCACCGTGCCCGCGAGCACCCGCTCGTCGCAAGCCGTTTGCCTGGCGCCCCACTGTCCCCGTTGTACATGTTGCACTTGCGCTGTGCCGCTGCGCACGGGCTGCTGGCATCTTGGCATCTGCTGCCAGGCCGCAGGCTGCCATCAGGCCAGGCAGCGAAAAAGTTTGTTTGGAGGCCTCCAACCAGAAACTAACAACATGTCACAACAGGGGGATGTTTCCCAACATTTCTTCCACCTTCAGTCACCTGGCCAGAGCAATCGTACATGATCACCTGCACCACTAAGAGTGAGGGGATCGGCAGAAGCTGGAATCGAACTTTGCCTCATTGACGCCTTCTAGCTGTTGGATCTCCTCCAAATGCTGGCGATCCTGGGCGGTGTCGTGGAAATGAGGGAGAGCTGCAGAATGGCGGAATGGCAGAATGCAAAGCAAGGCCTGCCTGCACCCACTGGACGTCTTTGATGGTGGGGTTACTGTCAGTTCACACTTTTGGATCCTCTCAGCTGGGCCATGCTGGGCAGTCCTTCTCTCAGCGGGATGTGCTGACACCCTTACCATGGGCTCCTCAATACGAGGTGCCAACACAGCGCCAAGAGGGCGCTTGCAAGAGTGTCATGTGTGTGCTGCCAGGCCTGAGGTCAGAGCGACGTAAGGCAATGGCTGCACGAAGGTGAAGACCTTTTTAACATTTAGCCGTCAAACGTTGTTCTTTTTCCTTCTTTGCTGTGTCTTTTCTGAGCATGATACATCGAAGCCTCTGTGTGGAGTGTGCTCGCCGACGGTATCACACGTGAGGAGCATTGTGACCTCGCTGGGGTACATGTTCCTAGCCGCTCATCCTCTGCATCGAAGAAGGGCGCGTGGACCGTCAGGCTTGGGACGCTCGTGTGTAGAAATGCGCAGCAACAACTAAACATCCGCACCCCAGTCACCACCGCTTGCTACAGCGCGTTCCAGCACATTTAGAGAAAGTTCCATGGCTGCGGCCTGGTATTCCGACGTTGGTCCGCCGTCCTGGGCAAAAGGCAGGACGGGCAACAGCCAAAGAAAGAGCGAGAGAGAGAGAGATGCAGATGGAAATGGGAGGGAGACGGATGCTACCCACACCGAGCACTACCTCAACTTCCTCTCATCACCACTCACCACAGCCACACAAAACCAAATGAGCAATGATATTCGCTTGTCCTGAGCTGTCAGGTACTCCAAGGCCGCCAGGCACTCTTCAACCAACTGCGGCCGCAGGGCCTGCCAGCACCGGGACACGGACAAAGTTGCAAGATCATGGCAAGGTTCCTTAGTGCCGCCCTGTAGGAAGTCCAGGGACCGTCCCAGGGCACTCAGATCGCCCCGCTGGTCCCCTGCCTTCCCAAAGCACCGCTCTTTGCAGAACGCTTAAGGCGAATGCTTTGGCTTTGGAGCCGACACTGGGCGCCTTGATGCCCTCCACTTGACGTGTCAAGACCTAAGCATTTTGGCTAAACCAAGCAGTGCAAGCTGCGGCTGAGCGGACCTTTCAAGACCGAGAGGCTGCCGTGGCAGTGTCAAGCATCCGCTGGCAGTGCATGGAAAATTCGAAGATTGCATCTCGACCCACAGTGCGTGCCTGCAAAGGGGCGTCTCGAAAAACACGCAGTGCGACATGCAGGCTTCCCTTCAACTTCTGAGCTGCCAGCTGTGGTGTATGCGCCGTGGTAGTCATCTTGGACGAAAGCTAGACGTTCTCTACTTTGAACATATCCACCCATACCTTTTGTGATTTGCAGGCATCACCAAATCCTTCCAGCAACAATATGGAGTATGCATCAGCAATGCCCGCAGACATATTAACGGTTCATTCCAAGCATTGCCGTTGGGGTAGCGGGGTGGCTTGTGTGAGCCTTGGATTTTTCACGCTATGCTCTGGGGTCGGACGTTCCAGGGATACCTCAAAGTTGAGTACTTCATTGAAGGATTGGGGCACTGCAGGGAACATCTGGAGTATGTCGTATGTTGGGTTGGGCACAGCACTGAAACTCTGAGGTTGGGCGCTGCAGGGATATTCTGTGGCTGGGTGTTAGTATTCTGGGGTTGGCACTGCAAGGTTTTCTGGGCACGCGACAGGGATACTCTGCGTTTGTACACTCTGCATCTGCACACGAGAGGAATACTTTGCGGTTGGGCACTGCTGGGATACTCTGCGCTTGAGCACGCCGGGGATGCTCGGCGGTTGGGTACTCTTGGGTTGAGCACTGCAAGTAGGGTGAGGAGAATACACATTTCTGAAAATCTAACAACCCCACACTCTTGAAATACCTTCGTCCTAGCTGGCCATCTCAAGATTGCCATTGAGGCCCCCACGTAGCAGCTGCTGCTTTGTCCTAAGTCAGACTGCACAGAGTCTAGGGATCCAATGTTTTGTGACACGTTCCGGACCCTGATAGAGAAGAATGCACAAACCCTCGAGTTGCTAAAGCCCTGACAGCTGTGGCAAGCAGCGCGAAAGCCTTGAGGCCGCGGCAGCCACGGTACCCCGGCCGTGCCATTCCGCACCAGAATGGCCTCAGCAAAAGATCTTGAGCTCTAGAGCTTCACAGAATTTCAGATCATGAGCCTGGATCCGGAATGTGCTTGAGAGCTATTGCTGGACAACGGGAGTCCCTTCATTGAAGGGCAGACATGGCCCAACGAAAGCAAGCCAAGCGGCAAAGGCTTTTGTATGAAGATAAAGCTCACGCCTTTTGTGGTTACATGGTACTATGCTGTTGGATATTGGGATGCGGAGGCGGCTGGTCCACTGGTGGATTGGAGGGAGGGGCACGTGTGGCAGCGTCAGGAGCAATGCTGATGGCTAAGCCCTCGAGTGACAGAGCTGGGAGTCAGCAGAGTCGAAGAAGAAAACGCAGGGACTGTGACAAAGCGGTACGGTAGAGGAAAGGACTCGAACAGGGTGAGTTCGGGGGTGGGGGTGCTTCTGCTTTCATCATGCACAGCCAGCCCGCTTCCACACTGACGGAGAGGCAGAGAGGAAAACACAAAAAAAGCAGAAATACGCCGGCGTTGGCTTGTGCATCTTGTGCATGGCTTGTGGCACATGTGCTGAACTAGGTCAAGGAAGCTCAACACGGGACCCCAGAATGATGCTGGGGTCAACACTATACCAGCCATGATGCAGACATGGCAGGAGCAGCAGCTGTTAGCTTCTGAATGTCCTTGCTGACGCTGGCATACCCCTACGATGCTGCGACGATGTTGCGTAGGCGTTCGAATCGAGTTGGCAATGTCACGCAGCTGACCGTCCGGATCTCCTGAGCTGTACATGCGTACGTGGACTATGGTACACTTACATCCTGCTGAATTCGCATGACTAATCCTGCCTTGAAGTGTTACGTACCTCTCAATTTCTATTCGCCGTGAAGTCCCCGCATCACCTGCAACGCCATGCAGCCACCTTGAGCCAAGCTCGGTGGAAGCCTAGAAGTGCCTGAAATGGAGCTTAAGACGTCAGGGCAGGATGACCTTCACAAACACAATGTCCGCTGTACCACGTTAAGAGATATGCAAGCTTAATGTCATTCTGGGTGGATCGATACTAATTCTGCCAATCATGCATTGTCTTGTGCGACTTCAGTAGCATTAAGCAGCAAGCAGCACGGCACGAAACCAGCCTTTTTTATCTGTGCCCAGAGCTGATCAAAGGCGGCTTCACACCGAATTACAAATTGGCACTGGCAACCAGAGTCTGTTGTCTCTATGCCTGGTCACAAGTTCCGACATTCTCCACAAGCTTCTGCTTTTTAGCACCTACAGTCGCTCTGATCAAAAAGTTGGCAACTCTTTGTGTATGCATCTCTAAGCACGAACATCCGAGGCAAATATCCTGCCCTTTCTCACTGTTGAGGATTCTACTTGTTCCTGCTCACGCTTCGGACAAACACTTGTTCCTCAACCTCCACTCTCAGTCGCTTGGTTCAGCAGTACTTTGCCCCATGCGCCTGATGAACACAATTTGGGCACCACTCTGTGAGTCAGGAGCACGTCCAACTTCCTTCACCAAAGCGATCAACTCCTAAAAAAAGAGCAGTTTTCTTAGACAAATCCTTAAGCTGAAGGGTCTTCAGATTGAAGAGCTCAGAGCCAAGCTGCAGCTTCCAGCTGCGGCTTTCAGCTGCGGATTCTCCTGGCATCTTCACCAGCATGAAGATTTAAAGATATGCTGAGCTTAAGTTCAGCAGGGCGGCAGCTCGTTTGTGATGGAGCAGCTTGACGGCTTGCGGCCCAGCCCAGGCCTCAAAAACTTGCCCAAGCCAGCCCATCACCAGAAAGGTGAAATCTGACAAGCACCAAGCTCTTGCAGTAGAACTGCAAGTCAAAGTCCTACGTCCTACGAGTCTTGTTCCTACATGCGAGCAGACATGAAGCATGGAGAGTTGCTGAGCAAATAGCAGGGGTGGCGCCACCCCGCGGGCACGAAGCACAGGAGACGGCAAGCTGGCAGAAAATCCAAGATTTTCATCAGCTTCAGCCACCCAAGAGCACAGGCCGTGCCTTGGCTCCGAATCCTGACACACTTAGCAAAGCTTGCGGGGGAGGGGGGGGGGTCTCACGGAATTTCACACCGAGAAACTTCCCGGCCTGGGACCGCAACCGTGGCGACGCGTCACAGCTCCTCGACGCAGGAGACCCTGGCGCCAAGACAGCTTAGTGTTACACTTAGGTTTTAGAAAGTTTAGGGTTTACGCCTTGTGGACTCAGTGGGTGTGCCCAGTCACCAAAGCATCCCCTCCTCGCCTCGCTCACCTCGACTGAGAGGCCGTAGTCTTCCCTGGCAACGGCACCCGGAGCCCGAGCAAAGCGAGCGCCAATCCAATGCCTTCTGCACGTTGGCTGCTACCTCAGGATGTGGAAAAGTTGTCGCGCGGTGTCCAAGTTCACTTGCATGATTTGTGTCCATGTCTACACATGACAAACATTTTCAAAGTGAACCTCCAAGAACTTTCTGCGCAGTACATACAGGCATCTTATAGGATGTCTTGGTCGTTTTAGGTCGCTGCGCGGGATGCGAAGGTGAGCGTGGAGTAGCTCTCATTGACATCCGCAGAATCGGGCGAGACCTGGGCCTTGGCCAAAGAAGTCTCGGGGGACCGGGTGGGTTTCTTGGAAGGGTGACGAGGTGGTGACCAAGAGAAACGTCTTGCAGCCAGGTCCGCCCAATGCATCTTGTAACAAGTACCTTGAGTGCAGCCAGCATCGCCCAAGACTTCCTCACACTGCGCTCATTCACACTAGGTGAAAGGCGTAAGCTTCGAGTTTCTGAAAGGGATGTGTGCCTCTGCAATCAATACTTGCAAGTGCTCGCTCGAGCACACTAAGCCTGCAGCAAATGCTGAGCAGCGCTCGTTTCCAGTGGAGTCGCCCAAGGCATACAGGACGTCTGAAAGGGCCGAGAGCGATCTGTTGATACAGTTGGCCTTGGAAAAGACCACTTATGTATTCAATGGTGAGTGGTTCAGGCTGTGCACCTCCTTCATCTGCATGCCCTCCGCCTGGGAGATCTTTGTGCGCTCGCTGCCAGCCAAGTCAACCTTTTTTATTTTTCTTTTACATGCGGCTTCCTTCAATGCCAGAGTTTTCAAGGAAGAGACCCGTTAGCGTGAACATGTTGCTTCCAACGTGTCAACATCCAGAGCTGAGTAGGAGCAACTTACACAGCATCACAAAAATCCTGTGCAGCTGGTTGTTTGCGTAATTTAAAGTGACTCCTCGTCAAGGGAGCTCCACAAAAAAAGATGCACGGAGGCTTGGGCAATGTGCAGCACGCCCGTCGCCTCTCGGCGCCCCTGAGCCAGCGCAGCAAAGCAAAAGAGGCGAACTTTGAACAGAACAATTGATGAGCTTTTCGTTTTGTCGGAACCTCCTCACTGATGCTACCGCCCGCTGGTCCTGAGCCCGCAGTTAAAGCAAAGATCTCAGAGCTAGATGCAAAGACGTAAGGCCCCAGCTCACGCTGAGCGACAAAACGCAGTGCGAGCGCGAAGACCTCCAAAGTCGCAGGAGAGACGGCGTGGCTCAGCGCATTCAGCGCTGCGTAGCGCTGCATTCTGTGGCAGTATATGGCAGTATGTTGCAATGCAGGAGTGGTCGCTGAGTTTGCCGGCCGCTCGTTCAAGGCGGTGCTGGCCACGTGGCGCTGGGAGGCGATCCGTTGCAAGGCCTGCTCCACGTCCGGCGGCCTCTGAGATCTGCTGGGGACCCCTCACCTTACCTTCCACCGAGGCTCCGAGGCTCTGGCTCACGCACGGGCCAGGACTTCAAGCCGGGAACTCGCATGGAGCCGAAGGGTGAGGGCCTAGTCTTGGAACCCCTGCCAAAGGAAAGGTTCCACCTCGCTCATTGGACGCATTGGGAAGCCGACCAGGATGCTGACAAATCCTGGCAGCTGCTTTTTTTCTCGCCACCACGCCACAGAAGAGGTGTTTTTTTTCTTTCAGGGCGCCTCCCTGGACTGCCGCACCTCAAGCCGCTCGCCTCACACGTCCACGGCACAAAGGCTGCGCAAAGGGTGTACAGCAGGTGCAGAGCGGGTGCAGAGCAGAGGCTCCGCAGATATCTGAGGCCTGAACTAGTTTCTTGCGGCCTCAGTACTGGAAGGTTTCAATTCTTCAATTCAGGCACTCAAAGCACCTTTGGGTCTCCAGCCCGTTGGGGTCTCCTCGCAGCTCGGACAACAGATCCTCCAAGCATGCTCGGAGGTTCGCAGCAAATACGATCAAAACCTTCCCCAGCGGCTGCCGTCCTGGATGGACTCATTATAGATCTCGAGCGCTGAGAGCCTAACATCAAACCTGGCGAATGCAACGATATGGGGTGCATGGCTTTCAGGCCTCCGAATTGCCAACTTCCCGACATCTTTGCTGCCTGGCTCCATCAACGGCTGCCAGCTTCAACAGGTCAGCGATTGCCAAGTCCTCGCCCAAGGCATCGTCCGAGATATCACGCAACACTACAGAACTCCATCCTGGATGCCAGGCTCACCCATGCGTTTGTTGCCGGCCAGCGTGTACCTGCAGTGCACCGCTGCACGGACCGTGACGGAAACCGCTTGAAAGAGTCTGCAGCGCACGTCTTTCCAGCTCCAGTCTGGCCGTAGGCAAAGATACAAACCTGTATCGCCGAATCGCCGTGCCGCTGTGCCATCTCCAAGCATAACTCATCGGGCATTGTGCAGACAGGGAGCATGAATGCCTTGAAGGACACCAGGAATTAACGGCTCAACTTCCTGCAGCGGCTTCAGGCACGTCATGCACTGTTGTGAGCAATCCTTGCTTCGTAGCCTCGTACAAGTCGCGCTGGCTGGCCTCTTGGGAGAAGACCCTGTCGAAGCTGAAGTCGTGCCTTGGCTTTAGGCAACGCAACTTGGGACACCCAATTGGAAGTTGAAGGTCCCAGCCTCTTGTCTCCCGCTGGCTTTCGCAAGGAGATGCTGCGGGATCCCTGGGCCTCCGTTCCTCGCGATTGGCACCATCTGCTTTGTGAGCAAAGGTCAGAGCACGACGCCTGCACCTCCCGCAGTTGGCTCCCTGCGTCTCAAAATGCGTTCATGCTTCGTGCTCACTTTTAATGTCCGAATTGCCTGGGCGGACGTATTCTGCAGAAGACGCGGATGCTTCCTCGCAGCTCCTCCCGCCAAAGTACGGAAGCTAGCTTTGAATGCTGAAGCCCGACAGCCTGGACGAGGTTTTGGAGGGCACGCACCTGGCAGGGCCGCTACGACCCCTCTTCTTGCGCTTCAAAAAAAAAGGAGAAAAAGAGAAGAAACAAGCAGTGTTTTCATGTGTGCTCTTTTTTTCTTTCGCTTCTCGTGCGAGGCTTCAGCTTTGCCTCGCTGCGCAGGCTTCGCTTCTCGTGCTCCAAGGAGGCCACGGCAAGCTCCTCACTGTTTCGCTCTCTCTTTCGGCAAACACATTTTTGGGGCATCAAGTTTAAAACTTCAGACTCTTCACTTGGCGGGGAAGAGAGGAAAAGCCCTGCAGCTGCCGGAGCCTTCTGCGCCAGCTTCTTTTCCAACTGCGCGACTCGCTCGTCAGCAGCTCTCTCGTGCACCTCCGCAAGCGGCGCAAGCGGCGCAAGCGGCGCAAGCCCTTGCTCCCAAGCTAGCATCGCATGAAGCAGCTTGAAACTGCTTGAAGCATCGCGGCCACGCCCAGCCTCAGGGCCGTCGCGGGCATCCTTCCAGGCCACCGTCAGCCTTGCGGAGGTGCCCCGCAAAGCCAGCAACTCTGCGGACCCGCTTTTTCCATTTATGCAGGGCCCACCTGCTGTCACTGATGGCACGTGCTATCCAAGCGTACATCTCAGACCTCAGGTCAACAGGTCTTGTGAGCTTCGTGGGCAAGACGCTGATGTGCTGGGGCATATCGGAAAGGAGGCCAGGTTGAAGCGATGGCCTGGTCTCCGCCCAGTTGCCCTTACACATTCTCTTCCCAGCTGTTCAGAAACTGCCCGCCTTTCCGTGGACTGGGACAATTGCTGCAGGGTGTTGTGAAGCTTGGGCTGTCGGTCCTGCAAATGGCCGGAACTGATGGTGAGCAGACCAGAAAAAGCATGAAGCGAATCCTCGAATGACTGCGAGGCACTGACATCGGCATCCAGGTAACTCTGCGTCCCGCGTCGCAGTAGTACCTCGGTACTCTGTGACAAGTGATTGCCAGAGCCCCGCGGAGCTTCTCGGTGCCCCGGCATCCAAGAAGCTCGCGAGCCAGCGCCGCCAGGCCTTAGCTGTTGCCGAAGAGCTTTTTTCTAGAGTTTTGCTGTGCACTGTCGTGTTCCAGGCCCCGGGCCGCAGCCTCCTCCAGTGCGGAGCGTTCCGCGCCCCGGGCCGCGCGCTCGGCAGCCTGAGCCGCCTGCGCTGCGCGCTGCAGGGCCTCCCGCCTCTCAGCCGACCGCATGTGCCGCGTTGCTGTGCTACAGTTCTCCGACCGCACGTGCGGCCAAGCTACTCCTGGTCCAAAGCACACCACTTGTGATGGTGCCGATCCTTGGACCGCTTTGCTTCCTGCGCCTCCTCTTTGAAGCTCTCACCGCGTCGCAGAGCCTGGCACGGAGGGTAACCTTGGACATAACATGATTTTGGGGGAAGCTTTCTTTCGGCCTCCTCGAGGGCCGCCTGCATCTCCGCCTGCTGCGCATTACTGCGCTGGAGGGCAGAGATGCTCGTTTGCATCTTGCGGCGCAGGTCCTCGAACTCTGGGAGGCACCATCGAGGCGCTCGTGGCACTCCCAACGCTCCCGACACAAGCGGAGCTGGTGTTGGCGGAGCTGGTGCTCTTTGTGCTCTTTGTGGGCTATGCCTTTGCTTGGGTGCCTCGGGCGACAAGGTGCAGTCCTGCAGCGGGGACCGTTCGGCAAGCACGAAGCTTGGGCTCCAGGTGAGGACAGTGCTCGTGGAAGGTAAGGGAACGTCACCGCTTCGCGCAGCTTCCGCGCGCACACGGTCGCCAAGGGACGGCTGGGACAAGGACGCGCTGATCTCAGCGCACTTCCGCTGGAAGCTTCCGAACTCCAAGCCAGGGAAGCTGTTCTCCTTCTCCGGCGAGCGCAATGCTTCAAGCCGCTTCGGACTTTGCAGCTGGGGAACCATCCTACAGGCCCTCAGCCATGGCTTCCAGCCGGAAGGATCCTCCTTTCTTTTTTTTTCTCAACATGTCTGTTAGCAGATGACACGTGCAAAGCTCAGTGCGTGTGCATGCTTGTGCCACCTGAGGTTACTGTGCATGCCATCTGCGCCATGCCAGACTCTGAATTCGAAGCTGCGAGGTGCGCATTTACAGCTAGGCGACTCTTGCTCAATCCTCTCATCTTCTGTCGCACAAGCTCTGCCAACAAAGTGTGATGACGCGATACTAGAAACAAGCCTGTGTACTCCTTCCAAGAAAGTGGCGATGCTGTTGCATCTGCAAAGCTAATTGCCTGAGATAGGGCAAGGTCAAGCTGAAAGGGATGATTTGGCAGCCCAACCACTGAAGTCGCAAGGTTTGAAGTTTCGACTTCACTGGAAAAACATTGCTTCAATTCCGCAGATATTTCCCGCAAGCCAGAGCTCTTTTTCCCCTATGCCGTAACTCGCTGCTCCTGCAGTTCGGCCACATATCTGCGAAGAACCGGATCGACCACCTCGCGGAAGTCGTGCTCCTTCGTGAAAACCCATCGGCCCTCCCCGCCTGGCCTGGTGACTACCTTTCCTGTAAGTCTCCTGGCCCCTTCCATAGCCTCCAGTAAAGGCCCTGCACCCTCCATCTTGGCGGCATGTCAATACACATCCCGCTGCTTCTATTACTAGACCTTTGGCACACCCAGCTGTATTTCGGATCTCCTTCCGAGATACTGAACAACTAAACGACCGTGTCATCAATACTATCAGACTGGGCCCCTATCCCTGCTACCCACACCACGCAGCCAGTGCCCAAGCAAAGACCCAACGTTTTGAGAGATCTCCTGCCCTACTGCTTGCATGGCAGGGCGCGGACTTCGATGCCTCAGCTCCGAAGTGGCCATCCACGTAGCCAGTGAAGATCCCTCGTGTCTCAAATTCGTAGTACAGGACATAACGGTCCTCCATACCATGGTGCTCCACAGCCCTGTGATCTACAAAGGAGTCGTAGAGCATGATGGAGCCTGCAATGTTTGCACGCTTGGCGTGATAAGTCTGAATCTTGACTTTCATGGCTTAGGGTATGCCAAGCTAGTTCTGTCTTCGTAGGGAAGGCTTTTTGCAAGAATCGCATCCCAAGTGGCCGTGAGGGATGTTGGTCACAACCTCATAGCCAGGACTGTCCATGACATGTGACCCAGGGCGCAGCGCTAAGGGGCCGTTGTTGGCCACAAGCGGCGTAAGTGGGACGCCAATGGTCAGCTGTGCAAAGGGCCCGGGCAAAATGATATCCCGGTGCCTTGTCATGAGAGGTGACTGTTTGGGAGTCTTTGTGATCATCACTCGGCCAAGCCATGGCCCCAATTCTTCAGCCTTTCCCACGCAGGTACATCCGTGTGGGGGCTCTGTGGCTAGGGGTCCCTGCTGCGGCGGCACCGCATAAAACCAGTCCATGTCTGAACCCTGCGTCACCCATTGGCACCAGGCTGCTTGCTGCTCCTCCTCCGAACGGCCGCATGCCATGTTGTTGATCACGTACCTCGCCGTGACCCGAAGCACCAGGTCGTTAGGTACCAGCCACTCCGCACTCCAAGGCTCCTTTGGGAAATCTGCTGAAAGCTGCTGAAAAGATCCGAACAATTTCTGCAACCTGGCGCCTCGTAGGGGACGTGGACCTGCGAGCGGTCGGCCCGAAGGGGCGAGGTGAAGTAGCCCTTGGGCAGCCCTTCGAAGTGGCGGATTGCTGCAGCCTCCATCGCAAGCTGCTCGTCCGCAGGGACCATACCCTCGAGCACTGCGAAGCCATTCTTCCGCAGCACTGCCAAGACCTCCCCAAAAGCTCAGATCTTCAGGTCAGAAGTCTGATTTTCCTTTTAGCTCCAGCCTGGTCGACCAACTGCTGCTTCTCAGGGCCTGACGCCTGATACCAGGAACTGCAGTCCACCGCGTAGCCCCGAGCCAAGGGGCTTGCCGCTGGACCATACCTGTCTCTTTCAACCCCAGGCCCAAGCTTGGCTGCGCAAAAACTTCCCAAGTGCAGCTGTGGGACATGTACAAGCGCGGCGGCGCGATGGTGTCGTCAACTCCGCCGTTCTGGTTGGCAAAAGGCTGGACCTCAGCCCCCACTGGATAATCTGGATGTCCTGGTGGAGGTACTGGGACAGAGTCTCCATAGAAGCTGCGAAGCGCGGGAACCCTCCCATGCGCTTTCCAATGCCTTTCTGGGAAGCCATGCCACGCCACCAGACTTTGGCTGTTTCTCTTTGGCCAAGCAAGGCCCAGGAAGAGGAGCAGACATGCAGAGCCCCGCCTCATGGCAACAGGGAACCACGCCAGCTGGGCCAAAGCTACGCAAAATCCAAAGTCTCCCCAGGCCGGGTCTTTTGCGGTAATAAATCAATACCGCAACAAGTGAGTACCTTGGCAAAGGCAATACTTCCTACACCTCAGGTGATCACAAGCAAACCTATCAGCAAATTTGTAAGGAACGAAAGGAACACGTTAAGAACTCTCTTGAAATTCGAAGGCTCACCAGGAATTGATTCGCATCACATCACGACAATGCTTTTGAAAATCTTCTTTTGCTCGCGTCAGAGGCGCGTCCCAGGACCCGCAACCAAGTTGGGAACCTCTCCCTTCAAGTCAGCACAGTAGCAGTGCAGGGGAGGGAGAGGCTGGCTTCGTGCTCGTGCAGTTTCTGCATGGATCCGAAAGGCCTTCTCAGCCAAAAGCCCAATCGTTGCAGGGCATCAATTTGCGCGCTCCGTCAGAACGCAAGCCCTCTGTCCAATCCCACACAAATCGAATTACGCGAGGTACTCAAATGTCGGAGAGCAGCTGCGCACAGCCCGGAAAGTAACAGAAAGCAATAGAGCTGAGCCGGAATTGTATCACATGAAAGCAGTGCCATAACATCGGGCATTGGCTACTCGGTCTGCTCGACAAGCCTTGCTTGTCTTCCGAAGCCAGCGGAAAATGCTATGCTGGCACGGCAGTCGAAGCTTCACTACCTCCAAACTATAGATTCCTCCATCGAGCATCCAGGTGAGAGCCAGCTTCCTGTGCCAGATGCCAGCACATGCTGGGCTGCATGCAGAATCCGGGGTCCTTCTTGGAAGCTGGCCCGAGTGGGTTCTACTGTTCAATGTGTTCGGGCAACTTCTCAAGAACGGACATCTTACTTGACAGGGATCATTAAAGAATCAAAATGGAATGAGTGCCTTGGAGCTGTGGGGCAACTCGCTTCACGTCGAAGAAATGCAGCTGCTGGTTCTGTCCTGATGCTATTTCAAAGTTGCCGCCATCGAAGCTGCAGACAGCAGCCGCTCCAAGGAAACTTGCAGCAATTGAGATCTAAACAATCTTAAAATTCCGTAGTCAGTGAGGCTCGGCATCAGCGCGGGCTTGTGAGAAGCTTTGACTGCAGTACAGAGCTCGGCAGGCAAAGAGTGGATATCCCGCCCAGTGCTTGAAGAGTGGGCTAATAGAAACAAGGCAACAGCATTATGCAGCATTGAAATCGAGATGGATCATCCAATCTGACTTGCAGTCACCCCTGCTTCACGCAGGGCACGAAGCTGCCCACGAATGACCACTGCCTCCCTGCCTTCGCAGGGAAGCTCGCAGCCGCAGGTAAAAATGAAGAACTGCCTCTCAGATTTCTCCGCCCATACGGATGAAGAACACCCAGTTACTCAGCTCTGAGTTACCGGAAGTCAAAGCATGGTCATGTGTGAGGCATTTCCTCGGGCCACTTCCATGGGTTCATGAAAGCAGTGGGCATCTTCTGGTCTACATTCGAGCTAGCTGCCTGGCCTAGAGTCCCTAGAGCAGGTTTTTGGAGCACTTGATAGACTTGATGGCTTCTGGCTTTGAATGACAGGCCAAGGCCGGCAATTGCAGTTAACCTCTTAACTATGCTTCTTAACCTCTGAACTGAGGCATCCGATGTCTGGTGATACAGGGCAAGTGCCCGGCTCGGCACACTGTTGTGGGCCTCTGAGGGAAGAAAGTCCTCGGATCACACTAACTCCACTCTAACTCCGCTCTCTCTCTGCTCTCATACTGCAGTCCAATGCAGTCAAAGGGTCAAGAGCATCATCACCACTTCAGACCTACAGCTTGGCCGCAGCTCAAGCCAGAAGCATCGAAATGCTGGTATGTGGTCCAGTGCACTCAGGAATCTGCACATGATTGGCGGCGGTCTCTCAGCCAGCATACCTCCAGACCTGACACTATAAGGACACTAACATCATCACGAAGTCCGCGAAGTGAGCTCAAAATGCTCAAATCTCGGCATCCAGCTGCGACCTACAGATTTTTGACTGCTGCTGTCCGCAGCTTTCCAGAACGACGGTTTCCTGACAGCTCGCCAAAAACCATCAGACCAGCGATGGCCTCAAGCGCTGAGGCAGCAATCCCGATCCCGAGCCTTAAGACTTCGCTCCAGCCGCTCACACTTTCTCTGGAGGGCCTGCAGCTGCGTCAGTTGCAGCTCTGGTGGCCAACATGGGAGGAAAGACGATCCAGCAAAGGAGAACCTTCGCCTCCGCGTCTTTCTCAGCCATACGTTTCTGGGCTACCTGGCGCTCCAAGCCGACAAACGCCAAAGAAGCCAAAACCAGGAAGCTGGGAACTAGGAGTGTCCGGAGGTCTTCTGGGATTCATCATCAGAGTGTTGTAATGCGTTGCGAGTCGCAAAACGCCACTTAGTACTCTTCAATCTCGAGGGATGACTCTTGAGCCTGCGAGCCTGCGTCTGCTCCTTTGCAGCTGCCAACTCTTCCCGCAGGTCCTTGAGCTCTTGGTCCTGCTGGTCAGGATCAGAAATGATCTTTGCACCCGTCTTGAGGGGGCTTGGCTCAAGCCGTTCCACTTGCTGAAATTCTCTGAGGTTCTTCCTCTCCAGGTTTCTCTCCGTCCTTCTTCTTCAGAGCTGCATTGAGGTTGGATCTTTCAAGTTCCACCTGACACGCAGAGGACAACACCGCCAGGCATCAATCGATCAAGTTACAAGACTGTTACAAGTACTGCTGACCAGAATCACGAATCCGCCTCGACCCAGGCCGATGGGTGTCTGCAGGTCCCCCGCAACCGGCCCCAACGCCAACACCTACGCTCCTCTGCAGAACCCGCACCCCGCCCTCCCCGAGCTTTTTCCGTAGAAGAAACCTTTGAGGAGCTCGCAGGATTCCATGTACAATGTTCTCCCCGCATTAAGGGCACACCTTGCAAAGTATGAATCTTCTTCCATCCTGCAGCAGCTGTCGGGGGGGGGGGGCCGGCGCAGCGCCGCTACGAGGAAGATTGCTTCATTCTTGCACATGCTTCCAAGACATCAGGGGATGTGAGGCCTTTCGGCAGTGCTGGTTGCGCTCGACGAGCAGTTGGTCGGTGCAGGAGAGCTCCTGGCAGGAAAAAGAGTTGGGCCTCTCTGAGCTTCGTATGCTTCGCTTTCACTTTCTCCTGCTCCAGGGCTTTGACCTTCAAATGCTGCGGGCCTGTGTGGGAGACGTTTCAAGCGAGCTTGAGGCACAACAAAGCTGGGCTCCGGGCCTTCCGCTTCCTCAGCGGAAAGCGAGAAAGTCTTGACATGGGAAGGTCAGATGGAACGGCTTCCACGGCCTCCAGCCGCTTCTGCAACTGCTGCAGCTCCACGGCGTGTTCCTTTTCACGCGCTCGCCTTAGACGTAGCCCAGCAATCTCATGCAAACCCAGGATTCAGGGCGTGCTTTGCTCCTGAATGACTAAGGTCCTGGCAGGCCTTGCAGTTCCTGCCACTCGTAGAATGTGAGCCGTCCTGGAGGAAGCAAGTTGCAGGCAACTGCCCGTAGATGTGTAGAGCATGCAGGGCATATGCCTGCCTTCATCCTCAACATCAGACGCTGGTCGCAACAGCGATCCTTAGGCAACTTTCTTTGAAGATTTGGGCTCCCTCCAATGCAGCGAACCCCGTCGCACTACCAAGGTCAGGCAAGCTCCAGGGCACGAAGACATGTAGGTAAGACATGGCAACACAACCCGAGAAGCAGAGATGCCGACGCTCTGCTGCCGCCCAGCGAGATGCTAAGTCGCCCTCGCCGCTAGGAACCTCACATTTGGCCTGGCGGCCCGGTTCGCATCTGGTCTTGCATGGAAAAAAAACGAGTTCAGACTCTGGAGATTTAAGTGAGCTTTCAGCTGAACCCAGCTTGCACACTGCAGGGCTCAGAAGCTGTTGATCGGGCATGGCATCTTTTAATCTTGAACCGCAGTGCGCAAGCAAACCGAGTCAGAATTCCCCACCAAGATCTTGCCAGCACAAAGGTTTCAAGCGTACTTAGTCCTACTCCCGCTAGGGGCTGTCGCGTCTCTTGATGCACCTGCTCCACCATTCGGCGACGGATCTCCTCCTCTAAGCGGCTGTGCATGCCCTTCCCGTCCTCGCAGCACACTAGAAGACGAAGACGTGTGAAAACATGGCCAGACTCAAGGAAATCCGAATAGAACTAGGGCACAGGCTCCAGTTGCTGTGAGGGCAACATACGCTCGTGGACTTAGCACCTCAGACTTGAGCTATCTTGAACGGAGGTCGCAACAAGAAAGGGGCGACTAAGCCCTCTGAGCACTCCACTGACATGGCTTGCACCTGGGCAAGGCGGTCTTTCAACATACGTGCATGCGTGCCTGGGCCGGAAGTTCCCGGCTTGCTGAAGGGACGCCAGAGTGAGAACACTGTGCACATCTAGGCTTGAGCACGAACATGCACCCGTCAGTAGAAGCTAGAAACTGCCGCTTCTTACCCTGAATTCATCAATGCTGGAGGCCACAAATTCCGGAAATACATTTCCCGTCGAAGTCAGGTGAAGCTGGGCCTCTTGAAGGCATGACACCATTGACGGTCCGGGTGGAAAGGGGTTGAAGGAGGGGATCGTGATGCTGGGACTGCGGGTTGCTCTTACCTGTACAGGCAAGTAGAGTATTGAGTGGAAGTCGTGGAAGTTTGGGATTTCAGGGCTCCACATGCACACCTCTCAGCGCTGGAGCTTCCCGCAATGGCTCTCCATCAGTCTAAAAAGACAATATGACTGACGGCACCCGTTCCTTCTCACGACGCTGTCATAACACTTCAGAGACTGCTGAAGGAAGCTCAATCTGCGCATGAGACCATGGAATTGCGGAACTGGAAGGTGACGGAGGCACTCAGGTGCTGATGCCTTCGTGTCTCTGTACACTCCTCAGCCTTCCGCATTAAGCATGCACAAAAAAAAGGTTGAAAAGGCACCCTATGGACTAACACACTTGGGACACCAGCCAGTTGGGTAGATGAATTGGATGCTCGGGCATGAAAGTCAATGTCCCACGTGCACACGGTAAAAACGTGGGGCACGGTCATCCCCTTGGATGCCGAAGCAGCCCTCCTGCGAGTCGCAGCTGAAGCCGCAGTTTTCCTCGATTTTCTCGGTCAATCTTCAATCACCTGACAGCTTCACAGGGTCAAGCTGCTTCTCCATGCCAAGTTCACTTGCTGAGGGCCCTGCTGCGCGTGCCTTGAGCAGTCCTGCGCAATGCCTTGGAACAATAAATGTTCTCAAGTCCTCAAACCCTCGATGATCGTTTGTACAAGTCAGTACCAAGCTCCCTGAGCTCACGGCTTGCTGCAGACCTTGTACTCCAAGACGTTCATGAACCTTGAGCCTCGAAAGCCATTGCAGTCTTGCTGGGGAAGAAGTGCAAGTGTCACGAAATTATGGGTCCCTTTCTCAGGGAGCTAAATGTGTTTCAGCAGCCACCTGCCTTCCAAAGATTTTCCGCATTCCTCAGGCTTTCACCGAGTTTACGCGGGCAAGATGGGGTCGGCACCAGTGCTTTGCCAAGCAGCGAAACAGACATGCAACTTCTTTCGCTTTAGCAGCCGTACGTTGGCAGCCTTGGGACAAACTTGTGTTGTAGATGATAGCTTCGCACAAGTTGCGTGGCGCATGTCTAGCCGCATGTCTAGCGCATGTCTACCCATCTGCACATATACATGCAAAGGAAAGCCAGGGCACATTTATAACGTCCGGAAGACACTGAAGCAGCACCTCCTTGATCCACTTACCTGCAGTTGCCTGGCAAGTACTGCGTCCAAGCACACACCTGTACTCAGAGCTTTGTGCTGACTCTGCATGCTCGGAAGCTGCAGGCACGGCCCTTCTTGCTTCCAGCTGTTTGAAGAATTCAGACCCGCAGCACCCGTGTTCTTTCCGAACCCATGCTGTTGCTCACAAGTTACCGCCAATCGATCTAGTGAAGAAGGACCCCAACTCTGGTGACAACGGGTTTCAATTCAAGCGGTGCCTGGTTCATGAACGGATCGTCCTTGAACGCCAGCATCGAGTCACGGTCCCAGAGGACGATCCCCCGGCCAACCTTGCAGGCGAACACAGGATGGCCCTGATTTTCGCAGCTGTGGCAAAGAGAAGGCTCAGTCTCTCAGAGCGGAAAGAATGTCGAGGAAAGACCACTGAAACTGCGCTACTTGTACCATTTGGGCGCAATGAGCCGAGCTCCCTTATTGAGAGCAATTGCAAAAAAAAACGTGCCATGCAATTAATTCGCGCTGGATGGTCTTCGGCTCCACCATTCATGAGTAACCTGTCGGGGACCTGTCTGAGTAGCGGCATCAAGGTAGGCGTCACTGAAACTGCGCGCGGATTTAAAAAAAGAGTCCGACACCCTCACTATCCCCCAAGCTTGCTCGTGCTAAATGGTGGAGGGAATGTAGGTATGATTGTGCCAGGCGATGATATAGAAGTCACAGCAGGCCGTTAGACACAACTAAGTCCAGTGTGCGACGTCCTGCCCTCCCCCGTGATAGCTCTGCTATGCTCTGCACCCAAGCTGCCTTGGCTACCAACTTCGAGCAGGTGTGGATGACACGGGGGTCCCGGCGCATCTGGAACCTGCACACTGCAAGCACGGCAAGAGCTTCGACCCAGGATGGTTCTGTTGCACACTCCCAGCCACGATCGAGCCTGATCTGATGCGAGCTGAAAACGCTTCGAAGACTCCGCTTGATCGACTCGAAGGAAGGAGTCCACTCGCTGCCAATCCTGAGAAGCGCATCAAGGGGCATGTTGAAAGTATGCATGTTCAATCATCCTCGATCATGCTCGACGAGACACAACCCCGCTAGATGCCGCTGGATGCAAAACATGTCTGAAAGCTAAGAAACTTGCAAAGCCGCAAAGTGCCTCTGCACCGCTTTTGCAGAGCAGCCGAGCTGCCAGAACTCAAGCACCACAGGTTTGCCGGGCTCGGTCTCCATGAGCGGCTTCTTCGGAGCCACATAGGAGTTCTGGCACGTAGGATGCAGCCCTCGCTCTCTTTATTTCCTTCGGGGCAGTAGGGAATTGTGAGGCACAGCCTCAAGCCCGGGCCGTCCACTCAGCACCAGCAATCTCAATCGGACCCAGGGGCTTCGAGGTATCGAGCATAAAAAGCCCCCGTTTTTCCCGAAAAAACCATCAGCCATAAGCCGGAAAAGCCACGGTCGTTACACCCACACCGGGGCCCCTTTAATTATGCAATTCCCTCCTACTCAACCAGAGTGTGAGAATCGGCTTCTTCTTCTTCGGGTGATAAAGAGCATTGCTTGCATAATTCTTTATTTTTTGTGTTTCCTCCTGTCCCGTATACCTTTTGCTTACCATTTTTCACATTGTTTATGGCGTTTTTTAGTGTTTCTGCCAGTCGTGGACAAAAAAGGAATGCAAAGAAATGATTTTAGATTTCCGGCACAAATACATCAAAAAACGAGGAGGCATCAACTATAGCGTGCGCTTTAAAAACACATTCCGTTGAAAGCGTGCTAAATCTTGAAAAAATAGAAATTTACAATCTGAAGCCTAAACCCCAAATCCTAAAACCTAAAGACCTAAGGACCTAAGCCCCAAATTCTTGTGCAAGGGCTTCGGAACCCGGGAAGACTCCCAGAATCCCGGTGTTCCCCAAGCTCTGCATTCCTGCTAGACCAGGGCAAGGTGATTATCTGCAGGTGAAGGAGAAAAGTTGCAACACAGTGGTAACGCCACCCACCTGGCCTGCCTCCCAATCCCTGGCCAAGAGATTGAGGATGGGAAAGGGGCCCTGGCAAGGGGATCCCAGAGAGCGAGGCAACTCCTTCGAACCTCCCACCGAGTTCCCTCTTACCAAGTCAGTCCCGTCTCTAACGTTTGGCACCGATACCAGAAAACGAATGATACTCCCTCGGTAGTAGGAAAATCACCCGGCAAGCTCGCAACTGTAAAGGAAGTGGAAGGTCCCCTGACGTAGCCCCTCACTCGAAAAGTAAAGAACTAACACTACAAGCCATTAAGGCTTCAGACCTACCCACCAAAAAAGTCACGCACACGTTTTGCTTGTACGCGACTTGATCCAAAACATCCGCGATCGCGGGTGCAAAGTTACTTCGCTTTAAAACTAGAAACACACAACAAACTAATTATCCATGCGTGTACACGGTCAAGAGAATTTTCCCTCGGCAGCTCCGCGCTCTACCTAGCTTCCCCCGGCGAAAGCGTCCTGCGGCTGGTCAAACTCTGTCCCTCGGTTTCCCCTGGTTCCAGCCTTGCGTTCTCCAAATTAGCACGGCGCAGTAGACGAGTTGCTATTGCTAAGTTGCACCAACGTACAGAATGCTGCAAGCGGCTTGACCTGCAATCATCTGGGACCAAGGAGATTTTGGATCATCAGTAATCTCTGTGGTACTTTTTTTGGGGACTTCACGCAAAGTTTGCTGACTGATACTTTGCTCAGTCGCCATCAAGGTCGACACGCGATCTGCAAACAACCCTACGATGCCCTCAACTAGAATGGCATCTAGACACTTCGTGGTGTCTTCTGAGGTTAGGGCCTGCACGGTCCCTGGGGCCTCGGCAGTTGCAGCCAACACTTGGTCTGCAGCATTTTGGCACTCCTTGTTAAAGTCGCCGGGGACTTCGTCAATCAATGCCCCGCGTTGTTTGCAAATGCTCCTAGAGCTACCCCTGTGGTCCACAATGCTGCGGGGGCACATCGCAGGATCGTGCGTGAGAACGAGCTCTCGTTTCTCTTTGGTTTCGTGGCCATAGTCCCTGCAAGTCTTTTGAACAAA